CAACCCATTAAATTGGGCAATTTAGGTGGGCTGACCCGATGTGTCTGACTCACTTTGGAAAAATGATCTTTGGAAAAAGGGAGGATTCAAAAGTTGATTATAAGTAAGGAATGTTTAAGTAGCTATACCTTCTATTTTAAAAATGGTTACCTTAAATTAGTTATATGAATTAGTTAATAAATTTTTGAAATACTTATGTCACCTTAAAGAATTAAATTAAATTAAATTAATTATTTACCAAGAACATTTAAAATGTGAAAATTTAATTTTGACTTTGATGGAAAAAAGCAACTCCGACATATTTCTAGGTGAAATTGAAAGCTACGTTATTCTTAAAAAAAATATGTGCTCGTTAATTTTAATTTTGAAAACACTTTGAAAGAATGTTGGTTTTTAAAATTTCATTTTTTAATTTAAAAATTTTATATTATTGGGCTATCGCAACCGAAATGACTTAAGTAAATTCAAGATTAACAAAATGTCACACCTCAACTAATCCTTTAAAACAAAATTAGTTTTTCAATATTATTTAAATAATGAAAGACAATGATCAATTTTTAAAGAAAAGTTTGAATCGCAGAGCTAAAATGATCCTAAATAAAAATTATGAGTTTAACAAGTTGTTACGATTCATTTAACCACCAAAATTAAAATATTTTAAAATTAATAAAAAATGCCAAATTAAATACGTTTGGCCATCAAACTATATCGCAGTTAAAATAACCCTAAATAAAAACTATGAGATTAACAAGTCACCATGGCTAAACTAATCCCTAATATTAAAAATAATTTTAAAATTAATATAAAATGATAAATTTAAAATTAATATAAAATGATAAATTTAAATAAGTTAGGTCATCAAGTTGTTACTACTAAAATTAACCTAAAAATTATGTTAACAAGTCATCATGACTAACTTAATCTCTTTTAAATTTCTGTTTTATTAACTTAATTTTTATACCTTCTCCCAATTCCTTTACTGCCTCTTGCGATATTATCAACATCTCCTGCTAGCATTGGATGTCATATTGTTACTCACTAAACAAGTTATTCGAGAAAAGAATTTATGACTTGTCGCACATTTCCAATTCAAGCCACACAAACCAAATTGATCTGAAGGGATCAAATCGAAAGGAGACTCCCATGAATCCAATAGCGCGCTTCTCATAGGTAAATTGCTGGCTATATATCTCTGGCTCCACGTGCGTGGATGTTTCTCCTTAATCAAAATCATTCACTCTCACCTTTTGCTTTGCACAAAGAAAACGTTTGGGGCAGCAATTACTTTGACAGATTGGTACTAACACTATGGTCACTGAAAAATGTGTTGGCACCCAGAAGCAAACTTCTCATTAAATTCTTTTATCTAACACATAGAATGCACTCTCTCACTCTAGTAAATCCAAAGTCAGTACTCAGTAGCACAGCCATATCTTTCACCTTAGGCATAGGTTTGAATTCGTCAACTTGACATATGAACCTATTAAATATATTACCAATTTAAGGGTCATATTGATGTTGACAAATCCACTAACAAACTAGATGACTCGCTACACGAGTCAAATCAAAATTACATTCCTTTATGAGTAGACTGTGGAGTTACCCAAAACAAGACTTTCCATATCCAAAAACCTTTAACATGAGGTTATTTCAAGATAGCTCAAAAAAAAAAAAAAAAAATTCGCTTTTTTAAAATCATAATTTTAGATTTGGATAATTCACAAATGAGTACTTTAAATTTTCCCTTTCATATATGGTTCTCTTATTATATGTGATTAATATTTTTCTTGTCACATTATATCTTCTGTGATCTCAAAATGATATCAATTTTAGAAATTGAAGAGAAACTTTTATTATATAAATACTAATATAATCTTAAAATAAACTAAAGTTATAAAAAATATCTTTTTCGCAATTTCAAAATAATGTCATTTTGGGATTGTAGAAGAAACATTAAATCTTATAATAGGCTTTTATTAGAAGCTATAAATAGTGTAGAGTCATACATGACAGATAAATATATGTTGTGGATCTAATAGAGGTTTACATGAATATTAGGCTAAAAAATTAGAAACTAAAACTAAAAATCGCTACATTAGAGAGAATAAATATATAGTTAATTTGAAATTTATTTGTCATCAACATGCTAATTAAAAACTCTACCATTGTACATAAAGTTCTTTAGCTTCAACCCAGATACTCCACCTCTAAACATGGTCCCATTTTGATTTACTTTTATACTTTTATCAAAGCCTTTTTTGGTGGTCAAATTATATGTTAATGTCTCAGGAGTTAAATTAAGAAGTGATTTAAAATTTTTGATTTGTAAAAGTAATAGTGATATATATTGAAAATAAAATATGTTATGTACAATAAGATATTTCAAAAAAAAAATTATATATATATATAAAATATTTAAATTAACCAATAAAAAGTAAATTATAAACCCGTGGGTTTCACGGCTAACTATACTAGTTCAGTACAACTACAAATTATAAAGGGAAATAAAGGACGAAGGGTTTGTGCCCCACCGGGTTGGTATGTATCTTTTAATATCAAGAAAGTTAGATGATAGAACGTAAACTGTAACATGTAATAAATAAGTAAAAAAATGCGGAAATAATATTGCGATAAATGTGTCCTTTAATTACTTTATACTTTTTGCAGCATTTGTCAGTGGGATATACTCCTTCATGTCAATTGTTCTTTACTGACAGATCTTGTAAGTCACATGAATCAATTGCAGTGAATGTTGCCCAAAAAAATAAGAAAGACAAAAATTAAGAAGCTCCCAGGAGAAAGAAAAAGTTGAAATATTTTTTTTTTTCACTAGCTTTCTTTTATATAAATTTCTCCACCAATTCATTAATCGATTAATTTGGTTCAATCAGACAGGATTAAAAGAGCGATGAAATTTTTCTTACCAAAATTTTAAAATAATTACATATTCAGAACTCTAACTTAAAATTATTGATTAAGCCGTCGAAGAACCCTTACTAATTTATGCATATGCCCACTAGTAGCGTGAAAGTGGGTCGGGTCGTCTCACAAGGATCTACACCTTAGTCAACGTCTGAGCAGACCTGACCTAATATATTTTGTAAAATAGGTCAAGTTCAAATCTTGAAAAATCTTGTTTAATAAATAGGTCGTAGGCCCATTTAACAAGGCTTTTGGCCCATAAACTTATTACAGACTGGTCTATATTGTACCATTTATTTTAAATTAAATAAATAAGTATGGCTTGAAAAAAATTAAAAGGTATAAATTTAATCAATTAAAATTCTTTTATAATTTAATTATATTCGATTAAATTTTAATAGAAATCTGACTTTATTTCTTACGTAGGAGGAATCAACATCTCAGCATGTTAGATGGTGTATATGTAAATATATTAAAAGATTTTTGGTAGAGGATATACTTACTATTTTTTCTTACTATCTTTTACTATCAAATCTTAACCGCTGATTTCCGTCAATTTAACGGTTATAATTTATTGGATCACACTTATTAATTAATTATTAATTCTCAATAAATTATAACTTATATTTACGAAAATCAACAGTTATAATTTTGTAGTAAGAAAAAAAATATAGTAAATATAATCTCCCCCAAGATTTTTTGTTTCTAAATCTTATTTTTTTCTTTCTATTTTTTAATCTTGTTTTTTGTTTTCTACATTTACAAATTGTTTGCCAACTTACGTAACATTGGAATTGTAAACACAGATTTTGATCAGTTGTTGTTGTGATTTATGATTCTGTTTGAACGTTGAAATTGTAATTTTTGTTTTAACATCATAATTTGAGTTTTTTGTGAAGTTAATTCTTGGAAGTTAAAATTAACATGTTAACAGGTCTGACCAAGTTAATAGTTAGACTCGTACTATACTATTAGGCTAAATCAAATTGAAATTTTTTATTATGAGCGGGACAAAGCTCGGCTCACCCTAACTCAGCTTCACCCCTTGCCCACTAATTTTCTGACTTTTGAATTGGACCCTTTTCTCACCCGTCCCCCGATTTTTCCTTTTCCCTTCAATATTTTTTTTTCTCATTTTTTTTTTGTTTGGCTAGGAATTTCAGCCTTGTCTATATCAAGCATGCATACGTAGCAATTCCCCTTTACCTACATTCTGGGTTATATATATGCCCATTTAATGAATTTTCAACTCAAATGTCATTCTGGAATGAATACGCAAGTAGAATCTTGGTCACCTTGCTCAGCAGCATTACCCTCTTTCCCTTCATCACATGCTGTAAAATATCAATACGAACAGGACTCATTTAATTATGCATACCTACACCCTATAGTTAAGATATTCTTCTCTAGAATGGAAACAAAACAAGCCTCACTTTTTAGTTGCCAAAATGAGTCAGTTCTGACACCCAATTGTTTTACTTACATGACAGATATATCATCTATCCTAAAAATATATATGTTCTGTCACATGAGTAATAATAATAATCACCCGCACTCAAAGGGGCATGTAGGGGATAAAGAAGAACCAAAGTTTATGATAGTAGGTTTAACGTCTGACAAGAGAACAAATCCCCATTTATTACTCTGACATAGAGTAGGTCCAATGAGAAAGTAATGTATATATCCTATCCAATAACCGCAACAAATAGTCTTTTTAAGTTTATCTTGTGGTGGGAATATGGCAATGCCGGTCCTAGTAACAAGTAATAAGTGTAATAATGTTGATTTTTGTTAAAAAAGAAAAAAGAAAAAAGGTAACGTACTTTAACTAGCTATAAGTGCAACTTTTCACTGAAAATTCAACCCTATGTTGGCTCCACCAAGTAAAAACCAGCAGTGCTTCACGTTTTACATGTCCACTTCGTTGCTCCCACTCCCCTTATATATTCGCTACAGTGATACAGTCCCATGCAAGAACTTTCAGTCATTAGTAATACCAAAACTACTTACTGACAGTACTGTGCGTGTAGTACTGTTCCAAAAGGTTCAAAGTAATTACTAAGAAGAGAAAAGTATCAATGGGGAGAGCTCCTTGTTGTGAGAAAGTGGGGTTGAAGAAAGGAAGATGGACCGCTGAAGAGGATAAGATCTTGACCGATTACATCCATGAAAATGGTGAAGGATCATGGAGGTCCTTGCCCAAGAATGCGGGTATACATGTTTATATATACATATATAAAGCATATTGTGTTTTTGTGTATGTATGGTGCATGTGTATAATGATTTCATGATATGTGTTTGTATTAATTTCGTTTGAATTGTACATATTGTATATGAAGGTTTGTTAAGGTGTGGGAAGAGTTGCAGACTAAGATGGATCAATTATTTGAGAGCAGACGTGAAGAGAGGAAACATCACTCCTGAAGAGGAAGAGATTATTGTTAAGTTGCATCATGTTCTTGGTAATAGGTGCGGCTCTGCCCCTCTCAAATTCATTCGTCTTATTAATTTGTTTATATTATATAATTTAATAATGTTCAATTATTCGAAACCTCTTTTAAATTAACAATTTTGAAACTTTTTTTTAATGGTTTGAATAAGTCCTTGGAAGTGGGGAATGACATCCTTTTGTATACTCATTCTTGCATTGTCTGTTGAAATACCATCTCTCCCTACACCTCTTTGCCCGAAACATGTTTAATTATGGTATGTAACTCATCATTAAGTTTAGGTTCATATCTTTATTTCATAAGAACATCGTTACAATATTGACATATATACTCTATCCCATATATGAAAACAAACTTATTTCTAGTACACCAATCCGTTAGAATCGAACCCACGAGGAATTGGCTGAAAGAACAGCAAAGATTCTAGGGACCATTCTCGTTTCCAAGACAAATAAAGACATAGAAAGAGAAGATATTTTTTCCAACGTTAAAATATGCTAGGGTAGTTGGCTTCTACAACCCTTCTTCAATTCCTCACTAACCATAAGAAAAAGACGCTGCTTAATAAACACTGCACCGTTTGTGCCGTCGAATTTTTTACCTCATTCAGAATCCATTCAAGAAAACCATTTCAAGAAATAAATATATATTTTTTTTATATATTTTTTTTTTATCTCCAAGAAATAAATATTTTGAAAACATGAGGAAAACAGGACTAGCCTTTTTACACAAATAATAGTTACCATATCCATTCTTATGCTCGCTCATGTACCACTCTTTTGCTTAGCGTTGTCTTTTTGTATGATAATTAGTTTTTCAATTAGTATTTCATAAAATTTTGAAGGATAAAACATAATCTAGAGAAAATTTTATACCCTGATTTGATTTCTTATTTTCAGTTGCAATTAAATAACTTCAGTAATAATTATTGTAAGTTACCTAAATGTTCAAATATTTTTCTTTTGGTACTTTATTGATGTTTATTAGTTTGGGATTTTATATACTTTATAGTATATACATGCATATATAATAATAATAATAATAATAATAATAACCAATTCAAGAAAACCATTTCACACGTCTGAATTAAGAATAAACAATATCACCCCAATGAAAATTCAACTTGTCTAAAAAGGTAAATGGTATCTACAAAAAGTAGGATGTTAAAAAAAAAAGGATGACGTAGCTATTCAGGAAAAATATCCAATGTTAACTTTTAGCGAAAAGTTTTTCTCACGTTTCGACGAGATAATTTGTCTCATGCAACACATAGAAAAGTGGGTAAGACCCATTAAGAAGAGGAGAGAGAAAGAAAAAAATGGATCTCATTCACTTTTGTGTGTTGCATGAGACAAATTATCTCATGCAACATGAGAAAAACATTTCCCTAACTTTTAACATTAGTAATGTTTTATTTTAAACAAGGTTTTAATGTTTCTAAGGTGAATGTAGATAAGTTATATACATTCGCTCTTAAAATGACTTCGTTTTGGATTGAAAAATTAAAAGATTATTATGATCCTGAAAAATACCTTTAAACAATATCTTAATTTCTGCCTCAAAACAATATCATTTTAAACTCACTGTAAATAAGCTATCTACGTTGAGTATTGAGTGTAGAAAAAATGAACCTTTAAACAAACCGAAAAGGAGCCACCGGAAACACGAATTTCAGTGAAATGCTATATAAGACAAAGGTACTCTTAATAATAATAATTATCCAAAACGAGTACTTATCTTAAACTTTCATAATATCAATCCATGTCAATGTCATGATCATACAAAATCAACTTGGTACATCCAAATAACTTCCTGTTCTTTTGGAAATTACTAGTTGCAATTGATTACTTAAGATTTGTCTATCCGGGGTCACAAAACATATAACTTGTCCTAGAGTACCATTTAGATTTTAGAGTCAGGAACGCCGTAAATGTTCTTCTTGAATAGACGCCCCTACAATATCCGACCGAGGTGGACCTATTCCCTGTTTTTTGGTACTTCAACTACTCTACCAAATTCTTTGGGATGGGGTATGTATTAATTGACTCCAGTTTTTTTTTTTTTTTCTGCATTATATATCAAGAAGTTTCGTTTTTTTAAATAGAAAAAGTAACTTTTATCAATTTTTTATTTTAAAAGTATTTTTTATAAAAGTTAAAGCTATTTATATTTTTATAAAAATATGTAGATTTGAAAAAAATATTTTATTTTTGACTTCTGCATTTCTTAGAAGTTAAAATTTTTAGCTTCTGAAAAAAGTAAGTTTTTGACTTTTTTTGTGACTTCTCCTTTTTTAAAAGCAGATATACAAACAAACTAAAAACGAGAAGTGCTTTTTTCTTGAAAAAAAGAAACTTTTGAAGAAAAAGAGCTCATCAAAACGGGCCCTAATTCGAGTCGAATTTGATTGATTCATTTAAAGAAGTAAAAATCTCGTAACACATATTTTTTTCTATTCATAAAATTTGAAAACAAGACCTTGAGAACTATTTTACTTGCCACTTGAACTAATGACCCTAGTCTAAATGCTCTATCAATTTCAAAATAATTATTATGTTAAATTATTTATCATTTTAAAAATTAAAGAAGAAATAATCAATTTTGTTATTTTTTCTTGATATCTGTTATAAATAAAATAAGAAATAATATTAATAAAATGAAAAAATTAGTAACAAGTATTTTAAAATAATATAGATGAATTGAATATGGATATTTTAAAATAAAATAAAATATTATCTCTAATATTTTTTAAAATTTTTATGCAAAACTTTTAATAACAATTATCTTAAAATGAATAGAGCAAGACCAATATTTTCATAATATCATTTTTTTGGGGGTAAAAACATAATATCCACTTTTGCAAAGAGGATGGTTGTTGTTACAATTGCTGCAAAATTTATTGCGCAACCATTCCCCAACTGAAAGTCAACGATGTAGATTGACTTAACTCCAAATTTAATTTAGTGGTCCAACAATACTGTACGCAACTACGTGTAATTGTATTACCTATTGCACCGTTACTTTCGTGGGGCAGATTATATTTACAAACTGTTTTGATTAAAAACTCTTACAAACTACACTATGTTCTTCCGAGAAAACACTTGTTACACTATGTTCTACCGGGAGAATATAGTGTAATTTGTAAAAAATTTCAAAAAAAAACTTATAAAAGGATCCGTCCCCTACTTTTATATAGATGATTGTTGAATGAAATAAAATAGTAAGGATCAGTAGCCTATTTAAAAGGAGGGAGATTATATTTATAAATTTTTTGTTTATAAATTTTTACAAATTATACTATGTCTTATCGGTAAGACAATTTTGAGTAAAGTCTTACCAGTATAGTTTGTAAATATAACTCTCCTCGTTTAAAAATTGATAAATATATTGCATTATTTTGATATTTTTTTCTATGTGAACTTACACATTGTTTTGGTTGTAGGTGGTCTGTAATAGCAGGTCATTTACCGGGACGAACTGATAATGAGATAAAGAATTATTGGAACTCTCATTTGAGGAGAAAGATTTACTGCTTCATGAAATCTCTAAATGAGTCTCTGCCACCTATTGACATGGTTGCTGTGAACGAAGCTGCTACATCCAAGAGAAGAGGTCGAGGAACAAGAAATAACACGGCCATGGAAGAGGACAAGAACATGGCATTGAGACAAAACTCCCTTGAATCAATGCCTAAAAGCAAAGCAGCAACTTCACAAAGTTGTAATATAGGAGATGCTGAAGAAATTTCGATGATGGATGCTTATTATGAAATGGAGGGTAATGCAAATACTACATTTGCATCATACCCCAATATGAATGGAGATGTTGAGGGCTTAGGACTATATCAATGGCCAGATGATGAAATTATGAAACTTAGTCACATGTTTGAAAGTGGGGTACTTGTAAATCCAAGTAGGAATGTAACCCTTAAGGAAGAGCCTAATGGACATGACTGTGGGCAAATGCATATGGATATAATGGGAACAAGTGATCAAGAGAGAAAGAGTGGAGTTTGGAGCTCTTCAAATGCAGAGTGTGGAGAGTGGTACACTAGTTGTTCATCAATGAATTCTGCCATTGATCATCAGTGGCCTGATTGGGATTTGGCAGATAATGTTCAATCACATAATGAATGGGACCTTTGTGAAGAAGACCAAATGGTGGATTGCTTGTGGGGTACTGGCATTGGTGAAGTAAATGGTTTTCATCAGTAATCAGTTGTTCAGAACTGCTGGATATTAAGTTGTTCACATATAGTCTGTTATTTTGTGTCCTTGCTTGGTGAGATTAGGTCTGTTGCAATTTAAATATACAGCTAAAAGTGAGCTAGTGGTTAGTGATTTAGGTAATTGGCAAGATGTCATAGATTGTTGTACTCAAAAATAAAAAAATAAATAAAAGTGTATCAGTCTTAGATTGTTCTACAACCATTTTTGTTATTATTAGATCAAAATCAAATCAACAGTTATAAAATGGTATCAAATGAGAGCTGATTATTTGATTTTGATCCAACAATAACAAAGTAGTTGTAAGGAAAAAAATATTTCAGGTATATCCTACCTCTAGTTTCTAATATGGTAATGTGAGTATAAAAATTATTTATGTTCCTTAAATATTGTGAGAATTGTTTATTTTTGTAAAGCCATTCACGTTTTGAATTCATGAACAATTTTAGAGCTTGATTATTCTCACAATCTGTAACCCAAAGTAAAGCTCAGTAATTATTCAAAGTAGTAATGGAGATTAGGATATTTCTCTCAAAGGTGCTTTTAGTTTTTCACTGCATGAATGTTGTCAACATTCAAGTGATTATGGTCGTTGAAGTTCACACTCTCCTTGCTACATGCTAAGTAAATATAAGTTCTACCTCACCACATTGAAATGCAGGTTCCATCAACTGAACTACTGCCCATTGTGCCTAATGTCAAAGTGGTACTCTGCTGTATAAAGCTACTGCGAGAGATAATATCTAACATGATTACTTGTTCAAGTCATCTCTGTAGAAGCCATATGGAAAGCATTAATTTCAATAACCAAAAAACTATTTAAAAAGACTAAATAATCATGAATAAATCAATAAGAGGACAATGTTTTCAATAATCAAACAGCCCCAAAATAAAATCATTTAAAGTGTTTACAATTGCAAGATTTCAGTGACAACATCATCAACCAAAGAATCAAATATTTGGTCCACAACCTCTGCTCCAAGTTCAAAAGCATCAACCTCAAAATCTAGCCATTTTCCATATTGGCTGCTCATGTCCTTGTCCACAAGCTCATCTACCATTGAATCCCCCATCCCTCTCCAACCTAAAATCTCCTTGTACACATCTTCTGCCAACCATTCATTTCTTTTCACCATTACAACCCCTTTGGTCCACATTTTGTATCCTCCCCCTACATAACGCCTACATCTTAAGTCCAAACATTCACTCACACAATCAAATGTAATTCTCCTTCTTATCCTAAACTCAGCATCACACTTCAACCCTCCATTTCGGCTTTCCAACTGGTTGAAGAGATGGGAGTTTACAATCTCACTAGCTCGTCCAAGGGAAAAGTTCATATACATCAACTCAACATTGCACAATATATCTTTCACATAGTCTAACTCCCATGTACTTGATCTTCCAAACTTCATGACAGAAAATGTACTTGTGTGCTTCTTCACCATGGTCCCATCTGATGTTGAAGAAGCTGAATCAGATAACTCTGCATCAGATTCTGTAGGATAGAACTTCCTCGAAAAATTCAAGCCATGAACTTCCTGAGTTTGAACAGATGAACACAACTTGCTTCCTGAAAGTAGATATAGGAAAGATTAGCACTCCTGAGTCATAAAATAACTGATATCAAATCGGTAATTAATTTTCCATATTTAAGCATAACTACCTTCTGTACTAGTAACATCTGTGCTCATTGAAGAATCACAGCTTTCAATTGAAACAGAAGGATCAAGAACAGAGATTGGACTTGGGTGTCGGCAATTGAATAACTGTGGTTCCATCTCATCAACCTGTAAACAACTTGAGTTAATGACCCACTCGATGAGAGAAAAGAATAACTGTGGTTCCATCTCATCTCAGAAATGTCCATGTGTTGCTAGGAAATAATTATAAAAAATTAACAAGCAGCATCAAAGAATAAAAGTAGTTTTTTGAGTAGTAAACAGATAGAAATTAACAAAAAGCAGGATATGTTTACCTGTAATTACTACCTATGAAAACTAATTTTCTTGGGAACAGGGAATGAATCTATCTCTTCTGTTTTTCATTCATAAGGCTGATTTTCAACATTAAGTCAGCAAGCCTAACTTTTTGTTGTTGTTTAGCCATTTAACTAGTGACCATGTAATGTTCATATTGGCATGCTTGAATGATAAATACTACAAAATAAAATAGGCAATAAGAATTAAAAGATTGTACATACCCATGAGTTATGTTTCAATGGTAATTCAGGAAGACCAGTGGAGAAGTCAGAATCATGGCTACTGCTTAACTTGCCTGTAAATAACATGTCCCCATCTTTCTTCGGTTGCAAATTCGGGTTGAGGTTACCTAAATTAAGGTTGGTCACTTGATCATTTGACATTGGTAGAGTAATGGAAGGCTGCCTCACTTTAGAAATGTCATCAGAAGAGGTTTCAATTCCACGTGTTAATTCTCTCAACTTCTGTTCCAAAAGGATACCTAAGGCATCACCACCAATCACGTTGTATCCTATTGGAGACCTTGTATTGTCTGTGTCAAGCAATACTCTTTTGATGCGTTGATCCAAGGAAAAACCATTAGAATTCTGGTCAGCTTGTCTAGATGTATCAAAACCAGGGTTGCTCCTTGTTAATGGTGTGGTAAATGTGAAGGAAACTACATCCATGTCTTTTGTTTTAACTTCTTCAGCCCAACTATATTGTTTATTACTTACTAGATTAGACTTAACAGGCTTTTGAGTTCTGTCAATGAACAAATTATCCACTACCCTATCATTCCAATCTTTGTCTGTAGACCTTTTCTTCCTAGGATAGTTGTTTGTGCTGGTATATAAAACTTCCTTTTCACCATCTGTTACCTCCATGGCTGACTTTTTGGATCCAACTTTAGTTTTTGCAATGGATTTGCTACTAGAGCTTCTATGACGTCCACAAGAGGAATCCCCAGTCAGAGCTTTTCTACTCTGTGAATTGGAAACCAATGGTTTTGATGGTAATTTCTCTTTTTCAACTGAATAATTCTGCTTCAGATTGTTCTGTCTTAGAACACTAGAAGATTTCTTATGAAAATTTTTCTGAACATTTGGCTTCGATGGCTGGTTGGGTTTAATATCAAGATGCTCTTTCTGGCCCCCCAAACTTCTGCCACCAGTCAAACTCAAACCTTCCCTTCTTTGAACATTCACTTTTGCTTGGATTGCAAGCGAAATAGACTTCCCCTTATTCTTCAAAGAAGTATCTTCTTCTGCATGTGTAGGAGATTTGACAGATGTATCTACAGATCCATTCCAGCTTCTGTTCAAAGATTGTCCCTTTAAATACTTGGTAGCATTCAACTCGACTGAACTTTGAGAAGGTTCTGAAAGCCTGTTTGTTCTATGAGAAATTTCTCTTTTTTCTTTTAGATCTCGAGCTCTAGGGGTCATGGAAGATGACCCAATTAGAGGTCCCTTCTGTGAAGCCTCAACCTTATCTTTAAGATCTCTAACCCTCAATGATACTGCGGATGATGCTATCAGAGGTGTTTTAGACTTTGTACCAGCTTGGGGTCCTGGTTCAATGATTCTTGCAGCAGCCTCCATTATATAAGCAGCATTATTGGTTGGAACAAAGCCAGGATTCTTAATAGGGGACAAAAGTTTATGGTGTGTAACCGGAATTGATTTAGCAGATTTTGGAGGCAATACTTCTGTTTGGAACTTTTCAATTGGCCTAGTAATGGTCTTTTGAGGTTTTGGCTCCATGAAGTTCCTAGAAGGGTCCTCAACCTTTTCAACCAGCTTTCCAGAATATAGGGTCTGATGGTCATGCTGATGACTGAGGTTTTTCCTGAAGTACTGAGCATCTTGAAGGGATCGGGTATCAAAATATGGGGTAGAATACGGATCAGAAAAACTGGAAGGGGGCAAGGAATCTAATCCCATAAGCCTGGCAACTACACCAGGGGCCCTTGTTCCACATGCTTCATCATCTGTAACAGATGAAGCATAACTATGATCACAACTTCCTCTAACACTTGCCCCTACTCCATTTTCATCTTCATTCGCCTGCAAGAATTAAATAAGTAACTATCGAATTTCATAGCAACATATATATATATATATATATATAAATAGTTGAGACTGCAAATGATAGTGCACCAGATAGGGTTGTGTCATTGCCACATTGTAATCGACTTTTCTTCCCCGTTTCAAAGGCTCTGCAAACGATGAATAAAAATTTTACCAACAGCAAAACACAACATGAATAGACCAATAAAATTTTTATTTTAGTAATACAATTGACAAGAAATATAAAAACACTATTGCATATTATATGCAAGCAGTACATATACCTTGTAAATCTGACTTGGTTGCAAACAATTTCTTACGGGATTTGGAGGTCCAGTCAAACAACTGGAAAAAACCACCAACATATCCTCCTCCAGTTTTTGTCCCTTCTTTTTCAACTCCCATTTTCAAAGCAGAATTCAATAAACCTTCAAGATGCATCAGGCAAGCATTGGCAAGAGAAATTAACATTGTTAGTCAAGCAACCAGACAACATAGAGTCAAATCATATTACTAGAGTTCAAATCTACCAGTACAGTATAGTATAACATTTCTCCTGATGTTACTCAACTTAAAACAACAATATGCTTTCCAAATCAAAAGCAAATCCACATAGCCAGATTCAACTAATCAAGTAGAAAAATCTAAAGATCCATAGTATAAATTTGAGCTGAAATTAGTAATCCTAATTAAAAGGGGAAGGAGGCAGGGGGGGAAAGCAAAGGTTTTGTGGCTCTTAAGTATCTTAGAAAAGTTTCAAGTCTTATACAGTCTATTCGTTGATTCAAATAGAAATACGGACATGTACAAACTATGATTATACACAGGTATTACTTCTCATCCAAATGAATCTGATCAAAACTTCAATCAAATGATGATCATCAGCCAAAGAACGAATGGAAAACGCAAAACGCCAAATTCAGGCCATTCAAAGCATAAGAACTTCAACTGAATCCAAACACTAAAAATAACACAGATGTTGGCAATGGATGAAAAAAAAACAAAAAAAAAAAAAACAAGGGCAAAGTTCAAACGCAAATCTGAAAAGGAAGAAGCCAAACAGCAAGAACCCATTAAAGGAAAAGAAGAAAAAATGCAAACTTTGGCATCGGAGCGAGAACTTACGTTGAAACAATGAGATGGGTCAGCTAAGCACTTAAGTGAAATGAAAGAGAAGCAGCAAGCACCCACCACAAGGGCATTTTTTTTGTTTCACTGTGAAAGACAAAAGCGTAGTTGAAGCAATTGAATTGACATTCGCAGAGAGAAGTGTTGAAGCAAAATGGGAAATTGATTTGGTAGAGAAGGGAGTGAAAAATTGAAGGAGCAGAGAGAGAACAAAAAAAAAACAAAAAAAAAAAAACCATAGTTTGAAGCATTAATGAATGGACTATTGAGTCATAAAAGAGAATTTTCTTTGAATAAAATAATTAAGAATTTTGTATTGATTTGAAATATGTTTGCATTATAAAAATGGGGAGAGTTTATAACGTCTCTCTCGAGAGGGATGTGATTTCAAATTCCAAACGGGGAAAAAAGGTGGTCCCAGGGGCTTGACAACGTATATCATTGTCCTTTTTGCTTTCGTCTTTCAAAAAACCTCATGGTAATTAAAAAAAAAAAAAAAAAAACACACAAATAAATGCACATGTCCAATGAATTAGGATAACTCATTAACTTAAAACAATCTTGTTATATAAAAAAAATCTTGTTATAAGAGGGAAACGGAAAAAAATAAGATTATTAAATTTTACATAACGAGTCATATTATAATTTTTTTTATTTTGATTAGAATAGAAGTGACTCGTATACACAAATTATGGGTAAAAATATACATCACGACTGTAAATTACACTATAACTACTTTATGTAAAATAAGTAATTTTTGAATATACAATTTATTAATTATCAATAAAATATAAAATAATGATTTACTAATAATAAGTAATTGTTCAACATCAAAACTCTTTTTTCACTATTTTTCAAAATTAAGGTAAAATAGTCAATAACACTGTAACACATAATTTGACTTTGGATCTCACGAAACTATCCTTAGGGGGGGGGGGGGAAGAATAGATTTAAATCTCAGGGGACGTATAAGGCATAATAGTATAAGCTTATACTATATGTTATGACATTTTCAGTTGTTTGGTGTGACCATCGTATAGTATAAACTTATACAGCATAATCCCTTAATACATCAAAACGATGTATAACTTAATCCAGCCTAAGGGTGAGGAATAAGGTCTGATAAGATATTGATGTATTAACATCGTTGACTAATATAATTCTAAAAATTAATATATTATTTTAATATTAATCTATTAAAATAAAAATTAATTTTTCAATATATTAATTTTTAAAATATTGAATATTTTTATTTTTATAAAAATTAATTTATATTTTGGACAATGATCAATAAAATTTTATAAAAATTAATATCATATGATATTTTTTGAATAATTATATAAATTCTTTATTAAAGGATATTTTTATTAAAAATATTTATTTTTATCATATATAGTATTATACAGTGCATTACCAAATACTAGATGATTTTATCTTATATAATATATTATTTTATATAATACTGTGTCAAACGCTGAATAGTATTAAAATTCAATCAGGTCTTATACAATCAGGCCTTATATTATCAGGTCTTATATTATCATGCCTTATCTTATACTATGCATCAAACATGCCCTTAAAAGGACCCACTACAATCATGACGATTATTCATTGTATATAATATAAATTATGTCTTTTTTTTTCTAATACATTCTTTTAATTATGTGTCTCCAACTTCTCATGTTATAAGAGAGGAAACTTCTCCCACAACCAATTAATACATAGTATTTTTAGTAGTACATAGTTATCATATTAAAGTTGATTTTTCTCTCTCTTTCACGTCAGTCAACCGCCTCTGAGGAGAGAAAAAAAAATATAGCTTTTAAAATTATAATTATGCACTGTCCATAGTTCATAGTATTAATTCGTTGCAGGAGAAGAAAATTTATCGAATAACATGATAGCTATATTTTTCTTTAATTATTTAACAATAGAAGAGAATTCAAATTTGTTAAGAACCTTAAGGTGACCACTCCAAAAGCTAGCTCAAGGGGAGGGAGTGTCCAAGGCCTTATAAAGGCCATATTAGTTGCCCATCCAATCAATGTGGGACTATATATCTCAACACGGCCCCTCACGCAAGAGCCCTTTAGACTAGAAGCATGGAAATTGCACAGGCCCATTTTTGGTTTACCTTTTTGTGCTTTTTTTTATTTTAATTCCACTTTTTAAAGGGGGGACGGTGAGGCTCTGATACCAAGTTAAAGAACCTTGAGGATACACTACCCCAAAAGCTAGCTCAAAGGGTGAGAGTGCTCAAGGACTTATAAAGGCCATATTAATTGCCCATCCAATCAATGTGGGATTATATATCTCAACACGCCCCCTCACGCAAGAGCCCTTTGGGCTAGAAGCGTGGAAATTGCACAGGCCCATTTTTGGTTACCTTTTTGTGCTTTTTTTATATTTTAATTTTAATTCCACTTTTTTAAAGCGGAGGACGGTGAGGCTCTGATACCATGTTAAGAATCTTGAGGTCACCACCCCAAAAGCTAGCTCAATGGGTGGGAGTGCTCAAGGCCTTATTAAGGCCATATTAGTTACTCTTCAACCAATATGAGACTATATATCTCAACAAAATTTAAATAGTTTTTCATTTTAGCTAAACACTTGATGCGAGGTTGTAATTTTCATAAGTTGTTTACCTTTTTAAATTTTGTAGTCGAATCTGTTTTTTGTTAGTAACCTTTGTAATTAAAAGGAAACTAAAAATATTAGTTTTTGCAACACCCAAAATAAGTTCCCTACCGTTAACTTACATATATTTGCATAGTTGGTATTGGTATCATTGCAAAATCATATCAAGGAAGATCTTTAAAAAGAAAAAATTATATAAAGGTATATTATATTTCTGGTTAATTTAAATTTTATTTATTAGAGTGAGAGTTTTAATTAGCGTAGCCCCACAGGCTACTAAAATTATTATCTATATTCCTTCAAAAAAAGAGTAAATATCATTTTTGGTTCTCAGCAAATTTTACGATGTCCGTTTTAATCCCTAGCAAATAAAAAGGCCCATTGTGTTTCCTAAGAAATTCAAAATGGACCTATTTAGTTGAAATAGTGATCCCTTACAAATTCAAAAAAAACTCATATTAGTCCCTAAAAGGACTAAAATGAGTCTATTTTAAATTTCTTAGGGACCACGATGTACTTTTTTATTTGTTAGGAACTAAAACGGACATCATAAAATTTACTGCCGATCAAAAAGAGTATTTACTTTCCAAAAAATTATCCACGGTTCCTTTGTGGTATTGGTACTTTCAGATTTCTTGGATACATTCTCCAATGCCATTCTCATTATAGTTCAACTAGAAGCATTAATACTATGTTAATTGCCTCTGCTGTATCCACTGATTAATCATTCAAGGCTTTTCCGTGACCAGTCAACAGGCTCAAAGTTTTTTTCTCCGTTTATAAATCAATCAGGATGGATGAAATTTGATTCGACCCCATGATATATTATATTTTTTTAATAAGAAATAGTAATTCAATTCGCTGACGTACACTTGTGATTTCTTTATTCGACGGTGAAGTTCTGCTGGTTGCACATTAGGATTTAATTATGGGATTTGTATTTGTCATTTAACATGACACAATAAACTTTTCTATATACATAATATTTTGTGAGGTCCACTATTTTTAAAGAAAAAAGAAAAATTATGGCACGCAAAACGAATCTCTATAATATTACACAATCACTTTTTCTACAACATAACTCTTATAAAACCCTTTAATTATTTAGTTGGTTCTTTTAAGTTTTGACGCTTCAATTAATTATTCGATCCTTCCAAACTCTCTCTCTCTCTCTTTGGTATGAGAAAGAAATTGAAACGTTAAAAAAAGGATTAGGCTTGGAGAAAATCTTGGCCCGCACGCGCTTGCTCCAACTAAAAACCTTGTATAAATTGATTTGGGCCGCTTTATCCATTTTCTTTTGTCAGTTTGGTCCACTAAAATATGAGATATTAATATTCAGATCCGATCCATAAAAATATTGATAAACTAATTTGGCTGGCACACAAATTAACATAATCACACCTCTCTTCTTAGATCGATTATAATGACTTTTTTTTTTACTCTAATAGCGAACTTTATTTTCTAAATTAGTTAAATAACGTAAAGTTCTATTTAAAAATTTTTGTAAGTTGTACGTAAGAATAACGATTTGTATTAGTAAATTGTAAATCCTAACTTAATTTAAAAAAAAATAGATAATACGTATTTTCATTGGTCAGATTATAAGTCAACTCAGATAATTATTCTGCAAATTCCATTTCTAATTCCATAACTATTAGAAAGTTTGGGATTGTACAATTTTTTTTAAATTAAAGATGATTAAT